GGGAGCCGATCCGACGAAGTTCTTGAGTCATGAGCCATTAGCTTGAGATTCGAACAAGTCGAAGGGAAATCTCTTTGATTTCCATAGTAAAAATTTGTCTTTAGGGGAAAGGAGCGAGCGGACGTGTAGTGGGAAGGAGCGCCAAAAAGCCTCCTAACGTTGTTCTGATATATATAAAAGCCCGCTTCGGAGGTTTCTTTCTAAATCCTTTCTTTTACCGCTTTTATTGATTTTTGATTGTCGCATTGCATGTTTAGAGCTTTCATCATGTAAATATTTAATCTATAATCGTTTCTAATAAATAGGGGTAATTTAGTAACTTTACACTGTTATTTATGAAATAATCCGTCATAGGGAACCCGAAAGGGGCGTTGTGGGGTGCTAACACCTTCCTCGCACGTAACCGACTCCCTTACCCGACTCTGGTTGTAGTGGCCAAAGTTGATTTATGAAAATCAATTGCCTTGTATCTTTTTCCAATGTTTTGAGTAAAATATTGGTGGCGACTCCAAGAACCCTTCTTTTTACGAAAACCGCTAATCTATGGAGGGTCCCGTTTGGGATCAACATAGGTCGGTGAGAATCATTTAATAAATATTGTTAGTTCGATGAGGTCTCAGTTTGAGAATAAGAGGCTCTAACAATCCATCATCATTCAAAACTTAAAAAGAGTCCAACCATCGTCGCGAATGCCAAGGTCCGTTTCGGCGGGGGGCGACATGCACTATTTTCTATTTGGGCTTTAATTGGACCGGTAATTCATATTTTAACTAATTTGAATTTTTTGAATCTAATTATTCCAAATTTTATTTTCAGGGCAGTTTAATAATTATTTGGGCCTGGAATTAATTTCTGGACTTCAAGTGGAGCTGCCACGTCATCTACCATGTCACTACTGCACCCATTTTCCACCTCAGCATTCATTTTTAGTTTTTTAGTCTATTTTATTGTTGTTGTATATTAATAATGGGGTAGAGGGTGTCACAAAATACCATATAATAATAATAATAATCATAATAATAATAGTAATAATAATAACCTTTTTTGAAAAATGAGGTGTTACAAAGTGAGAATATATCTCATTCATGAATAAAACATACAACTATACAAGATATTTAGGCAACAATAACACAATTACAACCATAAAGTATATCAACATAAATCATCCAATACTCAATTCTCATCATATGTCATTCAATGCATTAAATTTAGAATCACACTCATCAATACACACACATACACACATATTAAAGACTCGTACGACATATGCTCTTAACTATACATGCATGTGATATCAAATCTCCAAACATCACCGAAAGGTACTACAATACAAGGCAATCTAGGAACCATGGATCAAATCACCACACATTGGGTGATCCTTTCAATCCACTCTTGACTAGGGAAAATCTACTAGGATCCAGTTGAAGCATTACAATTGGTTGTAGTTGCCCACCATACTCGTTAGGGACCCCCTACTATAACTCTCCTAGTGCAAAGAAGTCAGAGATCTCTTTGTCATTCTTATGCTTGACATGGCTCTCTTCATGCCCAGTGTGAAGAACTACGTTAATTGTACTTGGTGTTGTTGTAGATTCTAGACTTCATAGAATCCCAAATCTCGCGATCCAAGGTCTTAAAAATTCATCCGAATCTACCAAAATGTTTCTTCACTCAAATTATTCGATAAAGCAAATATATAACACTTGGAACAACATAGAGTGATCAAAACACTCAGATTTATCCAATCAGGTCAAAATCCCAATTCATACAACCCTAAGTCTCAAATAATTGAATTCCACATATGATTAATTCAACTATGAAATTGCAATTACAATCATAATACACAACATTTGATCTAGGCAATTACCATAGGCATTAAAAAATTTCAATCAATATTCTAAGAGGCTTAGGGACTGCCTCATTAACTATACCTTTCACATATGCCCATAAAAGAGACATTCTTTCTTCTTTTTACCTCAAGTGACGACCTTTAAGGAACCAACATGGTCTTCGCTTTTCTCAACTGCTACTTTGTGGGTTCTTTGCTATCTCCCTCTAAGTTTCCTCTGTAAGTACTCTTAGGGTTTAGAATAGACACCTAAAAAAGTTAGCCCTTTTTTTCTTTTTATTTTTATTAAGTCTCTAAGTGGGGCTCAAGAGTTCAACCCAAGAATCCTCTCTTGATCCACTACCTATTTCTTTTATTTTATATATTAAAAAAAATTTATTTAAATTGTAAACCCAATTAATTAAATTAATTAAGTCTATAATATAATTTTTATTTAAAAAACAATTTTTTTTGGAAAATAAGATGTTACAGGTTCCACGCAACTTATTCGGTTGTTTGGCATTGACATATCCTCTTGGACTACCTTATGATTGGGTGATGCATGTTTTTGAATGACACCACATGTATTTAGAATTAGGTTGAGTTAGTGCATCCTGCCTTTGA